GAAGATCTTGAAGACACAAAGTCCATGGTCAGCTGTTTTTAGGGAGGTATCTGAAAATGTTGATACATCCATGGATTCAACAGAGGACTGCGCAGAAGAAAATATTTTCCACAATCCAGGCATTATCAAGGCTTTGCTGGAGACATACAGGCCCATATTTCCACTGTGGAGTGGTCTCATGTTAGGAGACCTACGGCGCCATGCCTTAGATGTGGACAGTAGTAAAGAAAATATTGACAGAGGGCCTGGCAGAGATACAAACTGCCATGTCGAGGCATGGTTTGGTATCGTTAAACACCACATCTTACTGAAGAAAAAAAGAATGCGTCCAGCAGCATTTATCAGAAGAGTGTATGCGTCTCTTAAAGGAAGATATGTAGAGCACCAACTCCACCATGATCTCCCTGACCACCCAACTGTCAGGCCAAGATTGTCCAAAGACATTACTCATTCTGAGGAGACCTGGGCAAAAAAAGAAGATGATTCAAAGGTCACAAAGTCAAAATCAAAATATTACAGTATACCCCAAAAAATGATTTTACCAAAACAAAAAAAACCCAGAGAAACTCGGCAACGCCGTAGCAGAGCTGCCCAAAAACAAGCGAAAGGTGAAGTCCTTCAGGTGTCTGTCAGTGCAGCTGATGTGCAAGAAGACACAGGAGCCACACATGGGCAAGAATCTAAGGTATGTTTTAACTCTTATGGGGATTTATCTTCCTCACCATATTCTCATTTCCTTCTCATTGCTATTGTGTTCACATGTACCTTACAAATGTAACCTTAAGCACACACACTCAAACACACTTACAGACTAGCCCCCATCTCCAGTTAAGTAACAAATGGACACATTTGTTTTCTTGTATATTTATGTCCTTGTGTGTACCTAAAAATTACCTCTGACCTCAACACAGATTCTTTGGAAAAAACGTGAATGTGAAGTTGTCATTGCAGTGACACAGTACAGCAATGACACAGGGATTTCATGACACTGAGGCCACACAATCTTCTGACTGGTGATGTAAGTGAACATGTATTTTTGTTAACTGTAATATAGTGTTAATAATGATACAAAATATATACACTACAATAAAGTGAGTGGTTTCTTGATGTCGTAGACAATTGAATTCTACATCCAAAGCACAGCTTTGTGCCGGCTCTACCAAATGCACCATTTCATAATAGGTGTAATACTCTTTGGTGACACCAACCAAGTTGCAAGACAAAGTCTGAAAAATGTAAGTAATGAAGGTCTGATTCCATCTGTGACCTGCTAAAAAACAGGTACATGGACCAAATAAGATTTGTAACTGTGTTTAATTAAATCATTGCCTATAGGTGAACTTTGATGATTATGAGGGGCTCATTGGTTTTGTCAATGTTTACCAGAACCACTGGAAGTTTGTTGTAAGTAAACCAAACAAATGTCCTTCATGTTTGTGGACAGTCTTCATGGCTTGGCATACTATTCTAAATAAAACATTCTGCTTACATGTCTAGTACCTGAATGCCCTAACATCACAAATATTTGTTGTGGATCCTGCTAATCCTGAGGCTGACCTCGATGACTCAAGAGAAGCTGCCAAACGCTTCCGGTAACAATTGTGTTCAGTTCATTTCAATTCAATTCAATTCAAATCAGCATAATTTGTGTTGATCGTTAGTGTTGATAACAAGGCATTTGTCCCAAGGCACTTTCCAAGACAAGAAGCATACACATAGAGCACACAAATAACAGGAAACATACAGAAAACATACGTATAAGCTCCAAGGAGCATGGGGGAAAGTAGAAATAGAAGAGAGTGCCTGTAGGTGGGTATGTGAGGGGGTCAGTCAGTACTAGTATGTAGTAGCATGTAGTCTCCAAAGAACATATATCAACTTGATAGTAGTAGCTGGGGTAGTTGAGAAGAGAGGAAAGACAGGGAAAAGAGGACATTGTACGACACATGAAAAGGTCTGTGGCAGCAATAAGCTAAGGGCATATATAAGACATGGTCTGACATGTTTATCATGTACAATATATACATTTTAGATGATGAACAGGGATAAAAACTGATGTTAAGTCATCTTATTAAGTGGTATATCAGACATCATGTCAATAACTTTTAATACTTTAATACTTTTAATACTTTGTGTCCTTATGTTAAGCCAAGTGTGGAAAGCTGCCACCATCCCTCCCCCTGCTCAGCAGGATGGCACGAGTTGCGGGGTATTTGTGATGGAGGTGAGGCATTTTCTAATACTGTTTTCTATACTATTTGGCTTAAATACATTAAGTGCAAAAGCCCATTAACTTTATGTTGTTAGCTGTTAACTGCTTTTCTGACACAGTAACTAACCTTTCCACAGGCTACAGATTTCAATAGATTTATTTTATTTTATTTTTTAAAGATGGCTCGTCAAACTCTCACGTGCCACCCACAAATCCCAGAGGAGTTCAAGATCAATCCTTCTCGAAGAGCCATTGCACAACTCAGGGAGCAGATGGCAGAGGAGATGCTTGAGCAATCAGGTAATGTGAAGATTTAACTTATATATATTATATATATTTAACTTAACTTAAAAACACTTCCATGGAAGAAGAGGTACATATTATGTTGCTTTCATTTTGTTTGTTTTTAGTTTCCAAGGAGGACTTCTGTTCCTTTTGTGGACAGAGGACATTACTGCAGCCTCAGTCAGAAGAAATTCTTTGGGTAAGTACTACACAGAATACTTTCATATCAAGTTATGTTAACAGCATTTCTGTGAAAATCTCATGTGATTCATGTACAGATCCAGTGTGAAAGGTGTGAGAGATGGTTTCACACAGCCTGTTTGTCCATGGACACAAAGGACATTTCTCGCATCCCTGTATGGATGTGTGAACTCTGCAGATAAAGAAAAGGACAAATCTGCTGTTGCTGGCCTTGCTGCTGCAGGAGGGAAGCACTGATGCCTGGGAGGACAACAGGAGACTGCATGGCTTTTCTTTAGGATCTGTCACCTACCTGTGTCTAGACCTGCCATGATGATAACAATATTGATTTATCATTCTGTATATAAAAGCTATAATAATATATTTTGGATTTCAGTATTTATCGTGAGGAATTTTTCTTTTGGATAGTGAGTAGAGTTCTTTTTTCCATTTAACTGAGTTGTGTTCTTTGTGTTATTTATCTATTTATCTTTATTTATTGGGCTTTTTATGAATCAATTTTCTGTTATTTTTTGTTCCCTGTTCTGTTTGTCTGGGTGAAATTTAAAAGTATTAAAGTTATGGAAATGATGAATGTTTTGTTGATTTTCTTTGCATTTGTTGTTATCACATATTTCTTCCTTGTTATGTAACATGAGTGAAAGACTCTATATCAGGTACTGCTTTATCAGGTATAATACCAATGCAACACCAAAAGAACGTACTCTGACTGCTATAAAGGTGTGGTTGTTACGGTCTACAGGTTGATAATTGCCATAGCACCAAAATCCCATAACAATTGTTGAATTGTAGAATCTGACAAGAAAGTACAGAGAAACAATACATGCAATGGTGACAAATCTGGGAATATTTGTGACTGGTGGTACAGGTCACATTGGTTGCAGCAGACGACACTGAAAGATGTTATGTGACTTTGGTGTAAAATGTGACCTGTAAAATAGACGGGCAACTACTACACCCATCAGAAGTGAAAACTAGTCATGTTGTTGATTTTAAGATAATTTTTGAAGGAAATTTTTGTCATCATGATTTCAGGGCAACTTGTGACCTGTAGTAAATAAACACATTTATTTGGGATCTACTACGCCCCACAGATTTGGAAAAAGTGTTTAGGTTAATTTTTGGTGAATTTTTTTAGTGTAATTATTGTGTCCCGCTTCACAGTAATGTGACCTCGGGTTCAATTGTGACCTGTAGTAAATAAACACATTTATTTGGGATCTACTACGCCCCACAGATTTAGAACAAGTGTTTTTGTTGATTTTTGGTGAATTTTTTGTTCAAGTAGTTATTGTGTACACCGGCTCCACTAATGTCAAAGTGACTCCCTCCAACAATGTGGTGACGATTTGTTGACGATTTGTTGACGGTCCCTAACATAAACCGTAACCACAGAACGAAGGTTGGAGCAGCTTGAGTAGATTTTTTGCCTATAATCGATAGGTACTATTTATGCTGTGGTTTTGTTATGTAAGACATTATCAGGTTGCACTTTGTTTAACCTAGTTCAAGTTATTTAGGCAAAATGCATGTTTGGGTCTTACTGTGGGAAAGTTAAACCCCGAATATCAAGCGAACGTCAAACGTTGAGCCAACTTCATTACTCTACAGAAGCAAAGGCTGGAGTGGCGCGTTTCGCACTAAGAGACATTTTTGATTGACAGGGCGAAGATTGTGGAGCAGTTGGCAGCGTAATACTACGTCTGTTTTATTTAAGATGCCTACAGTCAGTGGGAAAGACAGAACATTGTGAGCACTTGTCACCGCGGCCGTTTTTCGTGGCAGTTCAAAGGTTGGACTCATCTGCTCCTTTCACGGAAATGAAAAAAATGCGTAATGAACAGACAACCCGCCGCTTTGTTTATCAACCAAACAAATAGTTATTATTACTGTGGGACTAGATTTGTGTGGCTTTATTTTCACTTGCCGCTCGGGCAACTGGCAGAGGAGAGAACTTGAGTACTAGAGTACTAGAGTACTTGAGTACTCGAGTACTTGAGTACTAGAGTACTTGCCCGGACAAAAGTTTTAGTTGCCCCGGACCAGCGGACGACCGTTAACGTCGAGCCCACCTGACTCCTGCTTGTTTCCATGGAGATGTTCTTTTGGTTTGAATGTCCCACGGCTCCAGGAGAAAGTTTCAAACTGTGGCTTTAACTTTGTTTCCATGGAGTCAGGTGACGTGTGCCTCCTGCAGAAAGTTCCACACTGAAGCTTTAAATCGTTCAAACTAAGGTGATGTTCTGCTTCTGATAAAACAAACTCAGCCTCATGTGTCTGTGTCTCTGTGTCCAAGACAAACTTTTTTTCTTGATCAAACTTTAATTTTATCAACAGAAACTTGAGGCGATTTACAGAAAATCTGAATATTTACAGTTTTTAAACAGTGACTCGACTCCGAGCTTTAAGGCACAAACAGAAACATCAGCCACAAAAACCCCACGACCAGAGACCCGAGTCCAGGTCAAGACTCGAGTCAAGTCCCGAGTCCAGGTCAAGACTCGAGTCAAGTCCCGAGTCCGGGTCAAGACTCGAGAGTCAAATCCCAAGTCCAGGTCAAGACTTGAGAATCAAGTCCCGAGTCCAGGTCAAGACTCGAGAGTCAAGTCCCAGTCCAGTTCAAGAGTCAAGTCCCAGTCTGGTTCAAGACTCGAGTCAAGTCCAAGTCCGGGTCAAGAGTCTGTTTAGACCAGTGTTTCTCAAACTGTGGTCCGGATCCTTCAGGCAGGATCAGGATTTCTTCAGTTTGATTTTGTCTCATTTAGATTTGAGTCGTTTCTGTTTCAGCTGCAGTGGAAATGACATAGTTCACTTAAGTCCGGGTTTAGTCCTGGTTTGGTTTAGTCCTGGTTTAGACCTGGTTTAGTCCTGGTTTAGACCTGGTTTAGACCTGGTTTTGGTTTAGACCTGGTTTAGACCTGGTTTAGTCCTGGTTTAGACCTGGTTTGGTTTAGTCCTGGTTTAGTCCTGGTTTAGACCTGGTTTAGTCCTGGTTTAGACTTGGTTTGGTTTAGACCTGGTTTAGTCCTGGTTTAGACCTGGTTTGGTTTAGTCCTGGTTTAGACCTGGTTTAGACCTGGTTTAGTCCTGGTTTAGACCTGGTTTAGTCCTGGTTTAGTCCTGGTTTAGACCTGGTTTAGTCCTGGTTTAGTCCTGGTTTAGACCTGGTTTAGACCTGGTTTGGTTTAGTCCTGGTTTAGACCTGGTTTAGACCTGGTTTAGACCTGGTTTAGACCTGGTTTAGTCCTGGTTTAGTCCTGGTTTGGTTTAGACCTGGTTTGGTTTAGTCCTGGTTCAGTCCTGGTTTAGACCTGGTTTGGTTTAGTCCTGGTTTAGACCTGGTTTAGACCTGGTTTAGACCTGGTTTAGTCCTGGTTTAGTCCTGGTTTGGTTTAGTCCTGGTTTGGTTTAGTCCTGGTTTAGTCCTGGTTTAGTCCCTGGTTTGGTTTAGTCCTGGTTTAGTTCCTGGTTTAGTTCTGGTTTAGTCCTGGTTCTGGTTTAGTCCTGGTTTAGTCCTGGTTTAGTCCTGGTTTACCTGGTTTAGACCTGGTTTAGACCTGGTTTAGTTTAGTCCTGGTTTAGTCCTGGTTTAGTCCTGGTTTGGTTTAGACCTGGTTTGGTTTAGTCCTGGTTTAGTTCTGGTTTAGTTCTGGTTTAGTCCTGGTTTGGTTTAGTCCTGGTTAGTCCTGGTTTAGTCCTGGTTTAGTCCTGGTTTAGTTCCTGGTTTAGTCCTGGTTTAAGTCCTGGTTTAGTCCTGGTTTAGTTTCCTGGTTTAGTTTCCTGGTTTAGTCCTGGTTTGGTTTAGTCCTGGTTTAGTCCTGGTTTAGTCCTGGTTTAGTTCTGGTTTAGTCCTGGTTGTTCCTGGTTTAGTCCTGGTTTAGTCCTGGTTTAGTCCTGGTTTAGTTCTGGTTTAGTTTGATTAGATTGTTAAAAACTTTTATCGTCTGTTTTAAAGAATCGTTGAACAAAATCTATTTTATTCGTGAATCACAGTGATAATGAGAAGAGTCCCAGAGTCTGGACTCAGGTTGGTCCTGGATTATGGCCCCGGCTCTTGGTCCTGCTCCGGGTCCTGCTCCGGGTCCTGCTCCGGGTCCTGCTCCGGGTCCTGGTCTGGTCCTGGTTCAGGGTCCCGGATACTCGAAGACGGCGGCTGCTCCCATCCCCGTCCCGATGCACATGGACACGACCCCGAAGGCCCTGAGCACAAACACGTGGTAAAGAGGATTTGGGGGTCGCCGCTCCGCAGATCTGACCTGGAAATGAACCTCCTGCTCGTCTCGTCAGGTTTGTTCAGTCGCTGTGTTCAGTTTGTGTCGGGTTTTTGTGTTTTTGTGGAGAAATGTGGTGTGGGAACCTGAGGGACGGAGACTCGAGCTGTAGATGGTGTGAGCGCTGGCATCAGGGTGCGGTGAGGTTGGTGTTGGTGTTGGGGTGAGGTTGGCGTGGTGTTGGGGTGGTGTTGGCGTGGTGTTGGGGTGAGGTTGGGTGGTGTTGGCGTGGTGTTGGGGTGAGGTTGGCGTGGTGTTGGGGTGGGTTGGCGTGGTGTTGGGTGGGGTGAGGTTGCGTGGTGTGTGTGTGGGTGAGGTTGCGTGGTGTTGGTGTTGGGTGAGGTTGGCGTGGTGTTGGGTTGGGTGAGGTTGGCGTTGGTGTTGGTGTTGGGGTGAGGTTGGCGTTGGTGTTGGCGTGGTGTTGGGGTGAGGTTGGCGTGTGTTGGTGTTGGGGTGAGTTGGCGAGGTGTGGCGTGGTGTTGGCGTGGTGTTGGTGTTGGCGGGTGTTGGGTTGGCGTGGTGTTGGGGTGAGGTTTGGTGTGGTGTTGGTGTTGGGGTGAGGTTGGCGTGGTGTTGGGGTGAGGCTGGCGTGGGTTGGTGTGGTGGTGTGTTGGGGTGAGGTTGGCGTTTGGGGTGGTGGGTTGTTGGGTGAGGTTGGGTGGTGTTGGGGTTGGGGTGGTTGGCGTGGGTGTTGGGGTGAGGTTGGCGTGGGTTGGGGTGAGGTTGGCGTGGTGTTGGTGTTGGGGTGAGGTTGGCGTGGGTTGGTGTTGGGTGAGGTTTGGCGTGGTGTTGGGGTTGGGGTGAGGTTGGCGTGGTTGGTGTTGGGGTGAGGTTGGCGTGGGTTTGGTGTTGGGGTGAGGTTGGCGTGGTGGGTGTTGGGTTGGGGTGAGGTTGGCGTGGTGTTGGGTGTTGGGGTGAGGTTGGCGTGGTGTTGGTGTTGGGGTGAGGTTGGCGTTGGGGTTGGGGTGGTTGGTGTTGGGTGTTGGGTGGGTTGGGGTGAGGTTGGCGTGGTGTTGGTGTTGGGTTGAGGTTGGCGTGGGTGTTGGGTGAGGTTGGCGTTGGTGTTGGGGTTGGGTGAGGTTGGCGTGGTGTTGGGGTTGGGGTGAGGTTGGCGTGGGGTTGGGGTGAGGTTGGCGTGGTGTTGGTGTTGGGGTGAGGTTGGCGTGGGTTGGTGGTTGGGGTGAGGTTGGCGTGGTTGGGTTGGGGTGAGGTTGGCGTGTGTTGGGGTTGGGTGAGGTTGGCGTGGGGTTGGGGTTGGGGTGAGGTTGGTGGGTTGGGGTGAGTTGGGTGGGGTTGTGGGGTGGGTTGGCGTGGGTTGGGGTGAGGTTGGCGTGTGGGTGGTGTTGGGGTTGAGGTTGGCGTGGTGTGTTGGTGTTGTGGGTTGGTTGGGTGTTGGTGTTGGGGTGAGGTTGGCGTGGGTTGGGTTGGGGTGAGGTTGGCGTGGTGTTGGGGTTGGGGTGAGGTTGGCGTGGTGTTGGGGTTGGGGTGGGTGTTGGCGTGGGTTGGGTGAGGTTGGCGTGGTGTGGTGTTGGGGTGAGGTTGGCGTTGGGGTGGGTTGGTGTTGGGGTGAGGTTGGCGTGGGTTGGTGTTGGGGTGAGGTTGGGTGAGGTTGGGTTGGGTTTGGGGTGAGGTTGGCGTGGTGTTGGGGTGAGGTTGGCGTGGTGTTGGTGTGAGGTTGGGGTGAGGTTGGCGTGGGGTTGGCGTTGGCGCGGCGGGGACGTTACCGTTTGCGGCGGCGGCGCAGTTCGTGCAGGAGGGTGACGAGCTGGCGAACCCCGGTGCAGCCCAGCGGGTGACCCAGAGCGATGGCGCCGCCGTTTGGATTCACTTTGTCCTGAGGGACGCCCAGTTTCTCCACACAGAACACGACCTGAAACACACAGTGAGACCAGGACCAGGATCAGGACCAAGGACCAGGACCAAGACCAGGACCAAGACCAGGACCAAGACCAGGACCAGACCAAGACCAGGACCAGGACCAGACCAGACCAAGGACCAAGACCAAGGACCAGACCAAGACCAAGACCAGGACCAGGACCAGGACCAGGACCAAGACCAGGACCAAGACCAGGACCAAGACCAGGACCAAGACCAGGGACCAAGACCAAGACCAGACCAAGACCAGACCAGACCAGACCAAGACCAAGGACCAGGACCAAGACCAAGGACCAGGACCAGGACCAACACCAAGACCAGGACCAGGACCAAGACCAAGACCAAGACCAGGACCAGGACCAAGACCAAGACCAGGACCAAGACCAAGGACCAGGACCAAGGACCAAGACCAAGACCAAGACCAGGACCAAGACCACCAGGACCAAGACCAAGACCAAGACCAAGACCAAGGACCACCAGACCAAGACCAAGACCAGGACCAAGACCAAGACCAAGACCAAGACCAAGACCAAGACCAGGACCAGGACCAAGACCAAGACCAGGACCAGGACCAGGACCAAGACCAGACCAGGACCAGGACCAAGGACCAAGACCAAGACCAGACCAGGACCAGGACCAAGGACCAAGGACCAAGACCAGGACCAGGACCAGACCAGGACCAGGACCAGGACCAAGACCAGGACCAAGACCAGGACCCGGACCAGGACCCGGACCAGGACCGGACCAGGACCCGGACCAAGACCAGGACCCGGACCAGGATTATACGGGTCTAAATGGGACTAAACCAAGACTAGACCAGGACTAACCCAGGTCTGTAACACTGGTCTCTGCTCAGCTCCAGTTTCACCGCAGTCTGAACCCACCTCAGGTCCTTCAAGAACACTGACCTGACTCGCAAAGAACACTGACCTGACTCGCACATAACACTGACCTGACTCGCACATAACACTGACCTGACTCACACATAACACTGACCTGACTCACACATAATACTGACCTGACTCGCAAAGAACACTGACCTGACTCACACATAATACTGACCTGACTCGTAAAAAACACTGACCTGACTCGTAAATAACACTGACCTGACTCACAAAGAACACTGACCTGACTCACAAAGAACACTGACCTGACTCGTAAATAACACTGACCTGACTCACAAAGAACACTGACCTGACTCACAAAGAACACTGACCTGACTTGCAAAGAACATTGACCTGACTCGCAAAAAACACTGACTGACTGACTGACCTGACTAACACTGACCTGACTGACTGACTGACTCGCAAAGAACACTGACCTGACTCGCAAAGAACACTGACCTGACTCACACAGAACACTGACCTGACTCACACACTGACTGACACATAACACTGACCTGACTAACAAAGAACACTGACCTGACTCGCAAAGAACACTGACCTGACTCACACACGGACCTGACTAACAAAGAACACTGACCTGACTCACACAGAACACTGACCTGAACACATAACATTGACTGACTAACAAAGAACACTGACCTGACTCGCAAAGAACACTGACCTGACTCACACATAAGACGGACCTGACTCACACATAACACTGACCTGACTCGCAAAGGCTTCGTTGATCTCAAAAACATCGATGTCGTCGTCAAACCTGAAAACACAAACAAGAGTCACACAGGTCAGACAGGTGCAGACAGGAGCAGACAGGAGCAGACAGGTGCAGACAGGAGCAGACAGGAGCAGACAGGAGCCGACAGGTGCAGACAGGGCAGACAGGAGCAGACAGGAGCAGACAGGTGCAGACAGGAGCAGACAGGAGCAGACAGGTGCAGACAGGAGCAGACAGGTGCAGACAGGAGCCGTACCTGCCCTCTCCAGAGCGACAGGGATGGCCTGGGCAGGTCCGATGCCCATGAGGTGAGGAGGGACGCCCACGACGGCGCTGGAGCGAAGCACCGCGAGAACCGGCAAACCCAGAACCTCCACCGACGAACGACGACCCACGAGAACCACGGCCGCGCCATCGCTCACCTGAGAACTGTTACCTGTCACACACACGACACCCGTCACACACCTGAGAACTGTTACCTGTC